TTTTTTTTTTTTTTTAAATTCGTTTCCACGTTGGAAAGCTGGAGCAGCAACGAGATTTACGAGCGTCGCGGAAAATCGTGGAAAAATAACGCGTGTAATTGACGTTGATATAATAATTTCAAGTGGCGGGACAAAGAGGAGAGCCTGCGTGTATGGATTACAGGCGCCAATTTTGGTTGTAACATTATTGTTATAAGTGAATCGAAAGCGCGCGGTTCTTTGTAATGGAACGCGGCTCACTGTTTCCCTTTGAGAGCCGCGCATAGTACAACCGTGACAATTTGTTTGATAATTTAGTGGAAACGTCGGGACATTTCCCATCGATGAAACTGCTGTCGGGCGAAACCGAGTAATTACAGATCGAAACGCAAAAGATTCGATTCTATACAGGCATTATCTCGCATTTGATTAATTCCCGATCGACGATGATCCGTTGGAGAAGCTTTTCAACCGAAAGCAAGCGTATATTTGTTCCTTTGATTCTAGATTACTTCGAACGGTTAAAACACAGTACCGATTTCTATTCCATCGAATTTGTAGGAAGCCTCGAATCTTGACGACATTGAAATTAATAATGAATACCTGAGCAGAGTAGAAGTGGCCGTTGTTTCAATTCCTCGTGATACGTTGTAAATTCAGATCAGTAATTAACAACAATTTCCAATTAATCCAGAGTCTACGTGTATTCCATCTTGTGTTATGAAATCTGATGGCAGTTCAAAATAATGGAACACACAACGTATACGTGCGTCAAAGTCTTCCGTGACAGCATGTGAAAATTCCGTGAGCCACCGTACATCGTGCAACGACGACTGGAAGGACAATAATCAATAATAGATGAAAAATACAGAAGTTCGTTGCTGCGTGGATTCGAAAGAAAGAGGAAATGCTCGAGACATTTGGACGCGACATTGATTATAATTTCATAACTACGCATACCTTCCTTTATTCTTCGACCTCCGTGAAATACACTTTACCTCCGATAAATTCATTTTACCTCCGTTTTTTACTTCACCGTACGAGAAATCGTTGCAGCTATCGACCACTGAAAATTACCCCACCTGTCAATCATGTCTTCCCTCTCTCTTTCTCTCTCTCCCGATAATTTCACAATAAATTCGAAACCGAGGTATTATATAGCTGGCGACCGATCGATCGAGACACAGTCGTGCTGCGAACCTGCGAAAGGATGGACGTGACGTATCTTCTGAGATCCGACTACGCATTCAACAAAAAACTTCTGGAGCTGCTAGGACTCTGGCCGACTGTACGCTCGAAATTTCGAGTCGTCCTCTTCTACATATATTACGTTAGTTCTCTTCTGCTCCAGGTAATACGTTAACTTTTTAATAGAAATCCTCCGGAATGTACTCCTTGTATTTTATACTCTAACACTTCCGTAGTAAAAAAAAATTCTATCGTTTCCAAGAGCGAGTTTCTATTTCGATGGATAAGACCTCGTGCTAATGTTTCTTACTTTCGTTGATAGCGATTGTTTAATAACGACGTGTGACGACGAAACGTGCGTGCGGTTACATCGAAGAGTGAGACTTTTGCCGCGGATTCGACATGATTCGCAGTTCGAATTCGTTCAGTTCGCGCAAGTCTTCTTCAACTACGAATCCCTGGTGACAGTGAACAACGAAAGAAAGAAAAAAAACTGTTGTGCGCGACCTCACTGTGATTGTTGTTACAAAAATTTATCGCGAATCTATCTCCATTGCCACACTAACCTGTCTAATAATTACGATGAACAAAAATTCATCGACTACCGTTGTGAAAAATTTTACTGGCGCGCTTTAAACTGTTCCTCCGTTTTTTCAAATATTCCGAGATCATTTGCGTAATTTAAATTAGAGTAATAAAAGACGCGACGATCAAATTTGATAGAACGAGTTTTCAAACGCGCGTCTGTTTCTAGACATCGTGGTTTTTCACCCTCGAATGCAACTTCATCTGCGTGCTGAATGTTCTGCCGATACTTCTGTCGACGGTGTGCGTTTTATTGCAATACTCCTATCGTCATAGATACATGACCACCGTAAGTTTCCGCCCGTTAACCCTGTTGTTTTGTCTTCTCTTTCTCTGTGTCGAAAATTAAAAATATCCCGCGTGACGTTAGATATACGCTCTGTACACGACGATCGATCTCGACCAGAATTCCTTCAAGAACGACAAACAGAGTATCAGGATTCTTCGAAGATACGCGACGGTGGTGCACATCTTCTCGGTAACAGCCATGTGTAAGAAATTCACACGAAAAGAATATATTCTTGTCGCCCAAGGCGAGACAGTCTCGAAATTTATATATATATGAAAATTTTTCAGTTGCCATATGCCTCACCATCATTGCTGTCATGAGTTTATTACCTGTCATAACGTCTGCTTTTCACGTACCAAAAGAAAATGACATTAGATACTGGCAGCGACCGATCGCCTTGAAATCATTAGAGAAAACTGTGAGCTTCTGTAATCCTTTTTTCATTCTCTTCTTAGTCACCAATTGTTTGTCTGGGATAATTGCGGCAGCTATCGAACTGACTAGCTTGGCATTCTCCGAACACTTGTGCGCACTGTTCAAAATCGTAAGGTAAGAAGAAATTTAAACAGAAAGAAGTTCTGCCGGACATTTTCTAGAATTTTCGTAATTAATTTAAAACGTGTCTCAGTTCTTCAAAGCTGATTTGAATCTCTTAGCTGTTTCGAGATTGATCCAAAGACCTTGAGAAATCCATTGGATAAATGAATTAAATTAAATTGAGATAAGATCATCTTAAAATTCCCGAACTCATTGAACCGATCGTTTCTGTCAGAATTTTATTTCTGCAACGTCAGCCGTATCTCGGCGAAGTAAAATCTTTAAACGATCGTGTGAATGTCAAATAATAATATTCCACTTCGGTAGCTGTCACTTGAAACGTGCAACCAACGAATACGTCATGAAGCTCCCGCTATGCGACCAAACAAACAATATTTACACGAAGATAATAATCGCTGTGCAAGTTCATAGGAGAGCGATAAAGTTAGTAGATATACGTGCGATGATTTTGTTTTTTTTTTTCGCATTACACTCATCAACGATTAACACTATCGATCGTTCAAGGTTTTTACAGATCATGTGGCACCGGTTCGAAACGTTTTACTTGTGCGTGGTAATTTGTGTCATCGCCGCTTTAAGCACGAGCGCCGTGGGCGTGAGTAACGTTCAA